CTGTGTATGTTTTGGTTCTTTCTAGAAGGATGTTTACAAGGATTTTGTAGGTGGTGTTTAGAAATGTTATTTCCCTGTAGTTAATACATTGCTTTTTGTTTCCTTTTTTGTATATTGGTACAATAACCCCTTCTTTCCATTCATCTGGCATTGTTTCTTCTCGCCAAATGTCTTGAATTAGCTTGTATATAGAACTGGACAACGCTTCTCCTTCATGTTTTATGCACTCTGCGGGTATACCATCGCTACCTGGTGTCTTATTATTTTTTTACCTGTATTACTTCTTCGTATGTCGGGTATTGGTCTTATATTTCAGCTGTATGTACCTATATGTTTGATGTATTTCTGTGATGTATTTCTGTGTTTGATTCCAAAATTGATAAAGTAAAGAAAAAATTTGTTTGGCTTTTCTCACTATTCATTTAATTTATCAATAACAATAGTTTAATTTGTAGTTTGTTGTTTTATTTCCATTAAAATATAAAAGCACGTAATTTGTGTAAAATCCGTTGTCACGCTATTAAAATTGTCATTTACATGCCACAATCAAAACACTAATTTCTTGCCTATTATAATGTTGTTAAAATATCCTTACATGGTTAAATAACAGACAAAGCAACTATCTGCAGAATATTAATTGTATGACTACATTTATTCACGTTTCTAGACTTTAAAAATATAATTTTATGATTGGCAGGGCATTACAGGTAAATATCAATCAGAGATTGGATTATCTCCACTTTCAAAGAAAACTGTATTTTCATACTGTGGGACTGAGAACATGTTTGGCAAAGGATCAAATAGAATTTCCTCTGCAGTCTTTCCTCGACTCAATGACACTGATTTTGGCAACATGTCAAAGAAGGTGATGCCGATGGATGCAGAGGCCAAAATTAAATGGTTGATCACAGATCACAGATCTCGGTAATGATTGGTATGTGCTGCAAATGGCTAGCAGATAACGTGCCACCAAATGTTAAATTACTTGAGTTAATTTTTCCCTGTAGTTGGTCACTCATTTTTACCATCTGATAATGAATAACGACACATGGTGAATAAAAGAAAATTATTTCCGTATTTTCTACGATTGTTGATTTGAAGCAAAGCTGTGTTTACGATTAGAAATATGGATAAAAGGCATATTTTAAAACGATGTAGGACAGGAAATGTTTTAATGCGAGGTGAACTTCATTACAAAAATGATTATAGAACTTTTGCCAGTAGTACACTAAAAGGCAAACAGATTAGCATGATCAATTCAGAAAAACTTACCCTTAAGGCTCACAAAGTAAATAATTTAAAACTGTGTGATGTTCGAAATCTTTTGACCAAACATTTTGGTTTGGACTGGACGCAACTCGATTAGCTTAACTATTATAAAGAGCTTTTTGAATGTTATGAACAAGAAGCAAACGAGAACCTGTAGAATTCTGTTCCAGAGTTAGAGTATGTCGAAACCTGTGAATATAAGCCTAATCTTCCGGATATTTTAGTTTAAGTGATATGCATATAAATTGCTTTTACATATTATAGTCTAGACGGGATCTGTTTTGGATTGGACATTTTCCATAGGAAGCTATTTTTTGCTGGAATCCCTTCAGGATGTGCCAATATCGATAATCACGATATGCGCCAGTCGCAAACCCTGTGCTAAATTTTTTATTTAACAAAATCTGAAAACAATTGAAAATTTCTCATTTTTTTGCTCCTATTTTCGTTTATAATTCGGAAAATATTGATCCTAGAGAAAAAATTATAAGAAGTTAAAGTGTTAAAGCAAGTGTTCAGTGATAACCTCTTCACCTTACAAAAATGAACTGATCCAATCTCTCAACAAAGACAAAGGGAAGCAAAACGAAGTAGGAAAAGGCAAAGAAAAAAGAAAAACAAAAGAAATAAAAAAAAGGAAAGCGTAAGCAGGTTATCAAAGTCACAAAAAACCAAAAAAAGAAATCGGGTTCTAGTAGCGAGGATGAAGAGGAATATGTGCCTGCAGATGATGAGAGCGATTACAATGAGTTTCCTTCTACACAGCCTACACAAGACGCAGGTGGCGTAACGTGTATGCGAAGCACTTTTTTCAGAGGATAATCTTGGTGAAATATGGGTCAAGTGCTTCATGTGCCATTTGTGGGTACATAACGAGTGCGCTGGGGCCGAAAAAGAAGAATATGTGTGTGACTTTTGCAAATAGATTTTCTCCCAGTAAAAAAAGAAACACACACGTCATTGTCTATGAGTTATTTGATATATTGTTTGTATTTTAGATATTAAAATATATTTTTTACGCATTTATCTCATTTCACACAAATTTAAGACATATTTTTCGGGGTAGCCCATATTAAGGATAATTATTCAAACGACGCAAAAGTACAATTTTTCATTATTTGTACGTTTAAAACAGTTATATATTTTTTAATCAATTTGAACTTTGGGCAGGTTATAAGTAACTAAATATAGGTATCCTTACGTACCTTTGGAATTGAAATAGAATTTTTATTCTTTTTTACAAAGAAATACAAAATGGGTAGCCCATATTTGCATCCTTTCCTCTACTTCTCTACTACTACTCTACTCCTTTCCACACTTTTTGCTATTAAATTATAGTGAATTTTATTAAATAATTTTTCTGCCATTTTATTGTTAATCTATTTTTTTTATTGAGTTAACGACAGTGGAAACTAAATATGGCGCATATCAAACATTACAACTAATCAGATTATAGCAGTGCATTACATATTGGATATGTTTATGTACCATATGCCCGAAATGTTAATATACAATCGAAACTAAATTACGGATTTGAAATGAATTATCGGGAGATTCGATGCTGATGTATTGCATTCGATGAAAATATCATATTTGAAGGATTTGTGTGACATATGCCGTGTCGAGCGTTTATGAATTCGTAATCCATCGCGCACAGATTGTATCTCATAACTTCGTACATTATTTTTTAAGTACGGATATTATTCGATTTTTTATGGTTATTGATGTTTCGTGTTTTACGAATGGATTCATCATACAGATATTTTTGGTATAATACACTATGGATTATTTAAAAACCAAAAAAAGTACATTTGAGTTATAAAGCCTACCTGATTGGTTGACACACCACCCGCTTTATAAAAGAGAAATATACATGCAGGAAATGGGAACTCAATTTATTATCACTGGTACTTTGCTGATTTCTTTTTGCTATTTTCGTCCCAATTTAAACTTTCTATACTTGTATAAATTTTTTTTTAAATAAATTCAAATCTAATTTCAAATATAAATTCACTGTAAAAGTAGGTGCAATCGGTATGATATCAAACTGTCGGAATTCCATCAAGTCAAGATTCAAGATCGATATACTAGAAAGATTCCAGTCTAAAGTCCTGAGTGGGATATTGGAGGGATAAACTGCCTTTCTCGGACCTTACTAATAAAAACTCATAACGAAATATTATTTCAATTAACTATAATCGGTTCACAATTTGTCGATAGCTCACTACAAGTTTAACCCTAATTAGAGAACTGAAATACAGAGAGGATAGGTAATACGATATATTACTCAAAACCAACCTGAAACTGACGGCTTAAGATGTTTTCGACTAACCCACCTTGTATCTAAAGGAATACAATACAGCAATCAACGTTATAATCCGATTACGAAGGTATTTTGGGTACAGATGACCAGTGTCGTAGAGTATATGGAAACATTTATTTGAACTAAATAAATATATTTTTTAAATTGTGCTTATGTAAATTTTATTTTTGTTTTAATAAAACTTTTTTATTTTATTCAAAAATAAAAAGTTTCTTGCCATTTGTAAAAGATACATTTATTTAATTAAGGGGAAACGCGCTAAATGTCGCCTGGCAAAATTTTCAATGTGTTTTAAATGTATCCATTATTTTCGAATCCGGAGAAAACTAATAAATATTTTTGAAAAATTTAAACGCAGAATGAAAGATTACATTATTACTAAAGGGCAGAAAGTCCCTGAAAACTTATACAATGTTTATTTTAATATGTTATGTAACAGGGGTAAAAATAAAAGAGAAAATATAGTATAATTTTTAATTGAAAATATTGCAAGCAAAAGAAACTTTTAATTTATTCTAATAAATATTTCATTCTGCCTTTTTTTTTCAAAAATGCTTTTTAGTTTTCTCAGGATTTGAAAAAAAAAGAATACATTTAAATCATTTTGACAGGCCTCACCTTATACAATTACGATTAGAAAACTATTTAAATTCAAAATAAATAAGATCAACTTCGGAATCCGAGTCATCTTGAGGGTTAATAATTAGCGGTTGTGTCTCTACGGTGACATCAATTATGTTATCAAGATCCCACATTTTTTGTTCTTCTTCCATTACATATCTTACTGCACATTTCCAGTTTTGTTCGCCTTTCCGCCATTTTGTCAACTACGTATTTCTTGAACTTAGATTTGTGTTGCCGGGCAATTTTTAAAAGTTCTGCTTTTACCATTCTATCTTCGTAAGGCAGATACTTATTCCGCAGCCAGTAAAGAATATCCTGTTTCTTACACGCAGCCGTTGGAAGTCTTTCTACTAGTCGTGAATAATAAGGTGCATTATCTAATACTATAATTGAATTTGGTGGTATGTGTTCAATCATCTGCTCAAAATACTCTTCGAAAACATCAGCTGTCATCTTCTCGTGATAGGCTTTTGTGCTTTTGGACTGAAATTCCAACAAATCATGCTTAATAAATCCTTTTTCACTGCCAATGTGAGAAATTATTAATCTACTGCCTTTACCAGAAGGTGAGGAGATACCAGTAGACCAACCTTCCATAAAAACTTGCCTAGAGCTTAATATATTTTAATTTGACCAATTTTTTTTTATAGTATGACCTGTGTTTACCCACGTTCCATCCTGGTACTGCACAAATAAATATTTCTTTATTTTCTTATATACTTTAGCACTTTCTTCTGCAGTGTAATCTACTAAAATAATCTAATAAAAATTACAAATAACTTACTTTAAGGTGTGGTCTTTCTGGATCCATCTTCTGTCGTTCATACCGATCTTCGAAAGTTTTGTCCCAATACTCTTTACTCTTCATCCAATAGGGCTGAAACAAAGGATAATAGTTAATAAAGAATGGTGTATAAATGATATTCTCTATTCATGTTTAAATAATTTAAAAGAAATGAAAAAGATTTTAATGAAAAATCATGACTTTACATTATAATCATGCATATATTTGTGTACTGTATTTTTAATAAGACCGTAAAATAAAGACCGTATGAAGAGAGTGAAAATTACTTCCACTTGCGAAAAAAAACAGCGAATTATTTACGAGAGTGGATTGATATAAAACTAGCCTTTGATAGAAAAAACAAGTTTTTTAGAATTAAATCGATTTATTTCTCAACATAGTCCCCTTTTAGCTCGATACACTTAGTAAGACGATATTCCAATGTTTTTATCCCATCCGAATAGTACTTTTCTTCGAGCTTTTCAAAATAGGCCGAAGTTTCAGCGACGAATTCATCATTTGTTGCGAAACGGCGTCCTCCAAGCCATTTTTTTAGGTTTGGAGACAGGAAAAAGTCGCTGGCGGCAAGATCTGGGGAATACGGTGGGTGTCCAACCAATTCATAGCCCAATTCGGGTAATTTTGCCATGGCGACGGCCAATCGGTGAGCCGGTGCGTTATTTCGGTAAAGAACACTTTTTAGCGTTCCAAACCTGGGCGTTTTCGACGTAATTCGGCATAGAATCGATCCAATAATGCTGCGTAGTACTCACCATCGATTGTTTTTCCTTTTTCCAAGTAGTCGATGTGGATGATGCCCTTCGCATCCCAGAAAACAGTCGCCATCACTTTTCCGGCCAAATGTGCACTCTTTGCCTTCTTCGGCGGCCTTTCGCCGCGTTTGCGCTACGGTTTTGACTGTTCTTTGGTTTCCGGTGTGTAATAATGCACCCAGGTTTCATCAACGGTGATAAATCGGCGAAAAAAATCCTACTGATCGCGCCGTATCATCGCCAAAAGCGTCTCCGAAGTGGTCATACGTTTTTGCATTTGATCGATTGTCAGCAGACTCTGCACGCATCGCGCGGATAGCTTTTTTCGTGTCCAAATGATGGTGAATGATTTTGTGTACGCGTTCGTAGGAAATGTTTAGGACCCCTATTAACTCGCGGAGCTTAATTCGACGATCTTACATAACCATGTCATGGACTTTGTTGATCATTTCCGGCGTGGTGACAAAACACTCGTACGACCACGAACAAATTCAGCTTTCCAAAATTTTACTGTTGCTAACGAAGGTGCAACCTCACCATAAACCTCGTCCAGGTCGGCTTTGATTTGCACATTCGTTTTACCCTTCATGCGGAGGAACTTAATCACCGAACGATACTCGACTTTTTTAATTTCTCCGAAAACAAAAAATTTGCTTGATTTTGACGGCTGTAAAAACCAAACTAATTGTTTTTAAAACTTAAAATTTTGACAAACGTCATGTCATGAATGGCAAATGTCAACACCGAAGCCAATTCGGTATCAAGTAGCGCCATCTATCAAAAGCTAGTTTAATATCAATCTATCCTCGTAATGTAAAATTTAAACAGAACTGAACATATGGAATGAAGATAGCCGATTGGATTTCTTCTCAATTCAACCTTAAACTGGAATCAAATTATCTCATTAGCTCATTACCTCTCAAAAAATTGGCTTACATATGCATGGAATATTGCATATAACTGATCAGAGATTTGACCTCTAAAAAATATATAAATATTTATTTACAGCTTTATAAAAACTGCCTTTATTTGGGGAAATAGTCCAAACATGCATACCAAAGCTACACTCTTTATCTTTAAAACGTATTTTTATATTTGTCGATAGAATACTCTGATCAAAAGAGTTGAGTTGATAAAAATTTTATTTGAAATTGATTTCGCGCGCGTAACTCACATTCATAATCACCGGTCGCTTGAAGAGTTGTTTTTTAAAGAATGGTTCATTCTACATAAAAAGTGCACATTTAAAGTAGTATTGATGTTGTCAAAGAATATTGTAAGCCTAAGACGTTTTAAAATCTAAAAAGTCAGACTGAAAATAAGTTTTAATTCAGAAGAAAGTAAAAGTTGCCATATATTCTATTTAAAAACAATTAAATTTTGCTTAACAATAAGCAATTATATAAACAAAACGGTTTAGTTTTGTCACGTTTAAATACAAAGCAATTTCAGTCTGGCTGGAGTAAAGTAAATTGTGTATTGTGTAGGAAAGACGGTTACGAGTATTACCCACCGCGCCTTTTACCTACTTACTCTTTGACTCAGAAAAACGTTCTGCTCACAAAGCACGCACGACACTCATTAAAAAAAGATGACATAAAAGTATAATGTAAACTCGCCTAATTTATGTGTAACAATGTCCCTTATAATTTTATGTTCCTATAAATATATAGTACATTTCAACTTTTTTGGCATTTAGTATTATTTATTCTATAGTATATTATCTATGTATTTAGTCCCATCTGCAATTTCTAGGTCTAACTCTCCATCATTTGATACAATCATGCCCAGATATTGGTAAGCTGTGACCATCTTTAATTCTTGTTCTTCGCAGAACAATCATATAGCCTTCCATTTGTTAATGTTTGTCTTTCTAACTTATTTTTTTTTATTTCGTCCGTCCATACATCAATTTATTGATCGTATTTATATTTCCTACGTCCATACATCAATTTATTATTCGTTGTATCTTACTATTTGCCGCCAAATGTGAGATTCTTTGATTAAGCACCAAATAGACTTCTCTACTAGTTATAATTAGACGAAGTCAAAGCCGCAATTAAAGCAACCAAAGAAGGTAAAGCACCAGGGCCGGACAACTTTCATTCAGAATTTCTACATTTATTGCTATATTGCTAAATCTACATTTATTGCTATACCTAAAAAACCTAATGCAAAAAAATGCAAAGAGTATTATCAGTCTAATTAGCCACATTCTTAAGACCTTCTTAAAGATAATACACAGAAGAATTTATCAGAAACGCGAGTCACAGATCTCATGAACGCAGTTTGGATTCAGGAGGGCAAAAATACGCATTATTACAACTTATTATGCAAGGCAAAATCCGAGGAAAGCTAAATGTGGAAAGACGAAGTGTATCCTGGCTTAAGAACTTAAGGAAATGGTTTGAATGCAGTAGTGCAGAACTTTTTAGAGCGGCAGTCAACAGACTCCGCATAGCCATGATATTTTCCAACCTTCGATAGAAGATTTAGCTTAACCCTTAAATGCCCGTGATATGAAAATAACCATAAATGCCCATGTGGGGTCTCCTAGGGACCCCACTAAAATTTTCAATTTAGTAACGTCATTTAGCACTGACTAAAAGGAAAACACGGTTAAAAATAATTTTAAGCATATTTGAATAATTTTTATTTATTTTTCATACAAAATTAACGGCTTTTCTAGAAACAAATTCTTTTCAATTCGAACAAAATTAAAATTAAATAATAATATAAGCATATAACTTTTAGTTGCAATTTTTACATACAATAGTTTTTTCTTCTTTTCTGTGCACCTGGCATATAAATTTTGTGCAAAAAGAGCAAACGGTATTCACTTTTCTGTCACAGTTTCGCGGACACTGGTAACAACGAGCACGTTTCTTAGCTGAATGGACGGATTGAGTTGCAACTTCGGTAGTTGGGTTTACCATTGGTATGCCACAATCTTTTAGAGCAGATTTTACATAGGCTTTATGTTTTATATATTTCGCTCTTTTTTCCATGTTGTTTCGAGCAAGCTCAGCCCCTAATTGTAACGGGAAAATACGTCTTCGTGAAAAATTATTTTTCTTCCAATCAGGATTTTTTTCAATGTATAAAATATAGGGATTTAGTGCACATATGTCTATAATATTCATAAAGAGCCTGAATGGCCAACGAGCAGTTCTTCTTTTACAGGAATATTCCCTAATCAGTTTGTCGGCATTATCAACACCACCCTTGGTATTATTATAGTCTAAAATCATCAAGGGTTTGTTTTGAGAGTCTTGACAAATTATATCACTATCGTGTTGACCTGAAAGAAGATGTACCATCCTGTGTATTTTAGGTATGTACGAAACCATAGCTAATTCTTTAGTAAAAGCAAATATTGACGACTCCGCAGGTCTTTTTGTCAAACTTAGTTGTGGTGGTGTATCAGGTTTATTTTTGCGGACGGTCCCAAGTAAAGTAAGGTTTTTAGATAAAAGATATTGAGCAAGTGGAACACTGGTAAAAAAGTTGTCAGTTGTAATTCCTCTCCAACTGCCATGATATGGTTCCACCAGATCTTTCACAACACGAAATCCCTGATTTTTCTCTATTCTACCACCTGGTAGTTTTCCAAGGTACACCTAAAATTTTGATAAATAAGATGTTTTAACATCCGCGGCAGCCCAAATTTTTATCCCATAGCGGCAAGGTTTTGATTTTATATATTGTCTAAAAGGACACTTTCATCTAAAACTCACTAACTGTTCGTCAACGGTTATATGTTCGTATGGTTCAAAGGCTTTGTCACAGTTAGAGACGAACATGTCCCAAATTACTCGTATCGCCGCTAACTTATCCTGTTCCTTCCGCTCCACCCTGGTCACTTTGTCATCAAACCTCAAGAAACTCGATAATTCTTCAAATCGGTTCCTAGCTAATGCGGCTGTAAAAAATGACCGGCTTATTGAGGTGTCTGTAGACCATATCTCTCGTGTCGATTCTTTCCCACACCTTAAAGCACCAGCTTTGATAAGTGCTCCTAAAAAGCTATCCAGTTCATTGTTGGTAAGTACCGTCCACTCTTTTTTGTTATTCGGATGTTTTTCGTTCCACTCTTGATAACGCCTAACAGCTTCTTCATTAGTATGAAGGCATATGACATTCTTCATCTCTTCGGTCAAAAATAAATTGAAATAGTCTAAAAACGTGTTGGAATTTTTACTATAGTTTGTTAAGCCTGGATGTACATTTATAATATTTTTTTGTTGCCTCTTGGATCTCACGAAAGGTAGGCTATTCCACTGCATTCCAGATTTGGATGTATATGTTGGACCACTAACC